GCTCAATGTACATTTTGAAGGAGATACACAGCACAGACCATGATTGGGAGCAATGCTCCTGCTACCTCCAACACCTGATCACCAAGCAAAGTACAGACCACACAAGCCCTGGGACCAGTCAGATGAAACAGGTGGCAATACTATACTCAAAGATAGGAAAGATCCGGATTGGTGTTACCAGATGGGGGAGCTTTATTATCTTGGATTGGCACCCTGTACTCTACGTCCCCTGCAGTCATCTGACCCTGAGAGCCCAAGGGCTTGGCACCAGCCATGGGGGGGGAGGGAGAGGAGAGATAAGGAGGATCCACCCCTTCCCCCTGGAACATGCTGGGTCTTGGTGACACCTAGCAGAACCTCATGCCCACCTGAGAAACTCTGTGTCATTGGTATGGGCCAGGTAGGCATCCATCATCAGTGTGAGGAAAGGCGGCTGGCTCCGGCGCAGGTAATAGACTCGCCCTCCATTTGGGATGTGCCCGTACCTACACACCCAGGAAAAGACTTTGTTAAACAGCTCTAAGGACGGAAGAGGAGGAAGGACCCTGCTGAAGCCTTCCCACCCTGCACTTGGAACAGGGCCCTGCAATTGTGACAAGATGGCCAAAGCTGGAGGACAAGATGATGCGTGCCACTCATGACAACTGTCCCTGTTCAAGCTGACGCCCTGCCAGCATAGGACACTGCCCCAAACTGACGCCCTGCCAGCACAGGACACTGCCAGAGCCCAGCTTCTCATGCCTGGACAGAAGAGGAGTAGCATCAGAGCTGAGGAAGGAATGGAGAGAACTTCCAGCCAGGCTCCTCTGTCCAGGTGCCTTAGGTCAAACTCTCACCTTTCCACTAGGTATAGGAAGTTCTTTATCATCCCCTTGGCTGTGGTGGTCATTTCAGAGATGAGCAGCCCTTCAATCACCCAATAGGAATCCCTACAGCATAAAAGAAACAGCTGTATGAGTGATACCAGATGCTTTGTGCTAGTTGCCCTGTGTGAACCAAATGTAAACTGGTCCATGCTCACACCCGATACTCTCCCAAAGCATGGAGTTCAGGCCGGGGCAGAAGGCAGTCTGTTTTCACCCACTCTTTACAATCATGGCTACACCCCACACTGTTTCAGCAAGAATAATTATTTCAAACAACCCCCACGCATACTGGCCAGCGGAGCAGTGACAGCCAGGCTTGGCTTCACCCAGCTCAATCAGCATGACACAGAGCCAGGGTGAGTTACAGCAATGGGGCTGCAGCTAGATCAGTTTGAGGTATAACCAGGACAAAGCTCCAACATAACAACTTTTACTCACCAGTAATAATATTCAATGAACCTGCCACCAGGCACCATCAGAGGGTGTGGCACATAAATCTGTGAGTAAAACATTGGGCGAGCACCTACGTCATCTTTGATCTGAGAAAGAGATGATTTAAGTGGGTCATCACTTCCCCACAACCCCCAGCTCCCTGAGCCAGTTGCCCCCCTTGCCCTGCCCCACCGCCCCGCAGAACTAGCATGGAATGAATCTTCACCTTACTTTTTAAACATTATGCAGAGAAGCAATAGTCACCCCACACTCATATCTCTACCTTTCTCCCCAGAGATTTCCACTTGGCATTTAGATCTGATGCCCATGCCTGAAGTTTCTGGTCAGAAATTTTGGCTAGAACCCGGGGGCTGGAAGATAAAGAAGGAAACACACTTGAGAGAGGACAGCCCAGCACACTCTGGCTCCCTTACTCCCATTAACAGGGCAAAGTGCAGCCCAGAGAACAGTTAAGATACTTTCCTGAGGCTTATCATGCCTCTTGCAGGGGCCCTTTTGGCTCCATTTTGTACCTGCTTGTCCAGTCTTGAGGTTCCCACTGCTCGAACTCCTGTCCAGGGTCACTGAAGGATGAATTCACAAACTGTTGCAGCTGCTCTTTGGACAATATCCCCCCTGGAGTCACATTTACTAGCTGCTGAAACTTCTTCAGAACTAATTCTGGGAACAAGAAGAGAGCCATCACTTCCTCCTGCTTTGGCTGAGGTTCTGCCAGCACAGGGCCCATGAGTGGCAATGGCATAGTGGTTCCTTGGTGCAGTATGTACCAGAGCACCATGCCACCATTCCCATTAATAGCCCTGGGGCACAGCACACACCTGTGCCTTAGTACCAGGATTCTCACTTATCCTGTCGGAGTGTGGTGGGATGGGTACAGGATCCAGGTAGCACCAACAGGCAGGCATCAGATTAGACTGCTCTGTGGCCCTAGCCATACTGCCATTACTGACCTGGAGACTCCCGCAATGCCATGTCAACAAAATGCTTGTCATCAGAGAAGAGCTTGGTCAGCTGAACCTGCTTCAGCAGGTCCCCAAAGCAGTAAATCTGGCTAAGAAGAGACAGACCAAAGAAAGAGTATGAGTAAGTTTCAGACAAACCTAGGTAATGTCCTGACCCATGAGATTCAGCAGATTTCTTAGGAATCAACCAGCTTATTTCTGCTGGACAAAGTCTGCTTCATTATCTACAGCATGATGCAGGCTTCTCAGCATGGACAGCAACCCAGACATGCTGGAGCCTTAAGGCAGAAGCCAATCCACACACCCTACCACAACAAACTGCATTCAACTTGGAGAGAAGAAAGAGGTGAGTAACCACCGTTACACAGACCAGTTAGTCAAGGCTTGTTAAACAGATTTATCTGCAGGAATTTAAATGTAGTCTGTAGCCTGTCAAGCTGCTTCCTATCATGCTAATAATATGGTTGTGTTGATTTAAATTAATTCATTAATATATTAATGGGTAGATTTAGTATAGAGGTAATAGTTAAGAGCTGTAACACAAGAAATCTGCTAAAGGCTGTTTGTAAGATCAGCAGAAGCTAAGGTTAGCAGATTTCTATGGCTGATACACTGATCTCAACCAGTCACAAGCCATAGCTTATTTAGAGCTTCCCTGGACTGAAAAGGGGAACTTATTTCTGGGACCTTTCACTAACATAGGATGGTAGGAAAAATACCCTCAGACTCAGCAGATGCATTATTATATAAAAAGTCCCAAAATAACTGGTTCAGGCTGAGCTGAAGTAATCAGGACACAGGATGTGATACGTGACCACAAAGGTCCATGGTAACAAACCGACGTATAGGATAAGTTGAGAGCAATGATACATTGACCTATAGGAAACGAACACTTCAACATTAGAAACATCCCCTATTGAATATACAGGGCTCGACAAACTATACAATCTACTCGCCCGTGGTGAGTAGATTTCAGCCATGCGCCCCGTTCATTCGCGGCGTGCACGTGCACAACGCGGCTCTTGTGCATGCTCAGTATGGGGCTGGCGAGCAGGTTTTGCTGCTGTTTGTCAAGCCCTGTGAATATGTATCACACATGTCAGCGTCACATAGTATAAAAGTAGGACCCCAGCCCAGGGGCGAGAGGGAGAAGATGATGTAGTCCTTGGCAGGGCAGAATGATGACCCCTAGTGATAATGGGGAAGGTGAAGGTAATGAGAAAGATGATGGGCTAATACCTAAGCTTGTTCTAGAAGGAATGATGTAAGTATGTGCTATGGAAATATGGATGTACATTCCCTATCTTATGAAACTGGGGTGTTTGTGACTGTGCTAACTGTATTAATAAACTATATTTGTAAATATACAAGAGTTTCTATAGTGTGAGTGTTGCAACTTTGCACATCAGGCTTCCCAACCACAGAATAATTGAATACTGGGTCTGATCATGGGACCAAGAACCTGTCAATCCTAAAGGCGGTAATTAGAAATTTACATGTAATCTTAGATCAGGCAACAGGTCCCTTAACTATGAAGCCTAGCATGGACGGTGCACCAGAGACCATTTACAGTGGTCTTTGTCACATTCCAAACAAGACTAAAACATGTAACAAATTCAACCATTTACAGAATCATATAAGAGACTTGCAAAAATGCCTGGCTAGGGCATAGCTCTGACTTGCAAGGACAGACCATATGCACAAGTCAGGAACTATTCCAGTCCTGTTTGAAGGTACACTGCCAACTTGGAACCCTAACAACATTTATTAGGGTTTAAGTACTTCCAGGTCCTGCCTTCCAATTTTTGCCATTCTCTGGAACTTTTCTATCACATTTTCCATTTTTTCTTAACCAACACAAACAGCACAGGAAACAAACTGCACAGTATAATCACACTGAAATGAGAGCGAATTCTAATATAGGTTGGGTTAAATGATTTCGAAACTGGTGAGTAGAGATAAATGCACAACACTGCATCCCCTAGAGATGCCGCTACTACAAAGTGCTAGTAAGCAAAGCTACAAGCTTATCACATTACCGCTCTTTCTACTATTTCTTTATGCACTAGTTATGTATTATTTACAAAGCTATTTGTAAATTCATGCTTTGTCAATTGGTAATTTCATTCAAAATAAACCTAAGAAACAATAAAGGCCTCAAATTAATACACAGAGTCGTGTCACCATTCAATGTGGATGGGGAGCTTCGCGGGAGATTGTTTGGTAGAGTGGTGTCTATGAGAGAGAAATACAAAAGATACATAGAAATAGCAGAAAGCCAGATGCTGCTTGATCAACCACTGAGACCCAGCGTTCCCTCTAATTTTTTCCATTCATGAAAAGAATACATTGTGTTATGTGCACCACTGCGTGTGCAGATGTGCATCACTAGTAGAAACGCATTCTGGCAACCGTGGATCAGTTGGGTGGCACCTGAATCTCTCCTGGGTGGCCACCCAAGAGCTTACCTTACAGGGAACACTGCTGAGCTTATGACCCTAATATGATGATCGGACCTACACATTTATTCCAATTGTGAACTGAATAGTAAAATATGTGAAAGTTCATAAAATGTCACATTAATCTATAACAAAATGAACATGGGAAAAGGAATAGAAGAGACACTAACTGGACTCTAAACAAAAAGGCCTAATGATTAAGTACAGGACTTGCTGAAATCATGCTTGGTAAAAAACAGAAAATGTAGAACTGGAAATTAACCAACCAAAATTGGTACACTACATATTATTTCTAGTGGGGAACAAATAAGGGGATAGGCCAGGGGTGTCCAAACTTTTTTCAAAGAGGGCCAGATTTGAAGAAGTGAACATGCGTGAGGGCCGTCCCTGCACTCTCATCTCCAAGGCGGAGGGCCCGCGGGGTCGGAGGCGGGCGGAGAGCGCAGGGCACGCTGGCCTCATGGCGGCCTGGGGGCAGGGGCGGGGGGGGCGGGGCCCGCCGGCCTCACGGCGGCCCGGGGGCAGGGCGAACCCGCAGCCGAGCGGGGAAGCGGGGCTGCAGACGTGCCCTACAGGGCAGGCTCTAGGACCGCGGAGGCCATGGGCGGCGGCGGCACGGCCAGAAGCGGCGTGCTGGGCGCGCCAGTTCAAAAGAGCGCCGGGGAGCCAGGAGAGGGGGAGGAAGCGGGGGCCGTATTAAATCGGAACACGGGCCGCAATTGGCCCGCGGGCCGGACTTTGGACATGCCTGGGATAGGCTATTCTGCCCATCACTCCATTTTGGGTTTTTTTTTTTAAGAGACTTGGCAACAGAGAACGAAGAACAGATGGGACAACCTTTGCCAGTGCAGCTGCCACTCAGACCACCTTCTGGGATACTGAACTTTTTTCATTCTAGTCCTGGGGGGATTGTCTTTACCATACCAGGCCAGGTAGAAGACTCTAGCCATCACCACCATCTTCCCACCTTCCAGCTCTATCACAACCACCACTTGAGACAAAACAGGCTCAGACTTAAACAGAATTAACAGCAGCTCTAGCTCATCTCAACTTCTCTTTTAAAAAAGAATGATTGCCATCTATAATAAGATCTAAGAAACAGCCAAATAGGTATTTCTTCTAAAAACTCCCCAGCTATAGGAAAAGGGGATAGGAAAATCTTGCTAAAATTAAAAGCCTTACTTAATTCCCTCTGAGACCTTTTTCATTAGTCTTACCCAGATATACCTGGTTCAGGGAGAACACTATCTAGTTCTCTAGAATCCTAAAACTTGGTTTGAATCTAGATTTGTCACTAACGAATTTCTATTGGCATTTCATAAAGCTACACCTGATATAATCAGGCTCAAGTGTAGGGAGTGGGTTAGAGAAACATAACACCACCAAAGTACATAAATAGAAATCAGATTATACACATATTCCAAAGCACACTGACACATGCACATTACATACTACACCATATCCCATAATTTATCGTTTTACTAATTTTGTGAACCAATGCCTGTAGAAATGCAAGCACTACCAAGTGTTAAGTGCTAGTAAGCAAAGCTGCAAGCTTATCACATTCTCTCTCCTTCTACTATTTCTTTCTTTCCTAGGTATGTATTATTTACAAGGGTACTTGTAAATTTATGTTTTCTCCATTGTTAATATCTGTTTCCTTACTTCTCTTGTCTTTCATTGACACACCGAGACCAATATGACTCCTCCAGATGTGACCATTTGTGCAAGGTCATGGCAGTGGGATCCAGGCGGCATGTTCTTCAAAATAGCATACCCTGTTCAATATGTCTGTACCAGATGGGTGACAAACACTAGAAGAGCAGGGCTATCCTGTTTAAAACCAGATGAATGGCCTGTCTGAACGAGCCTCTCCCTCAGCTGTTTTAAAATTCTTGGATGCAAGATATCTGCACCTGCTCATTTAAAAATGTTCAACATCTTTCAGAGATACTATTTGAATGAAAAACATCATCACCACATTATGAGACTATATCTGCTTTTTCCCCCTAGACAAAGAAATATTTAAAAACACACATGAATTTTCTACATTATTATTGACAATTCTACCATTTCCATCTAGTAATGCACCAGTGCCATTGTCAGGATTCTTTTTGTTCCTAATCTGTTAAATAAATCTCCTTACTGTCCTTACCTCTTCTGGCTATACGTTTCTCCTTGTGTCCCTTTGCTTCCCTTATCAGGCAATGTCTACACTGCAGAGATAAATCAGAAAAAGATACGCGAATAGCAAACTGCAATTTGCGTATCTTTTCCTGTTTTTTTCCCCGAAAGAGGCTTTTCTGAAATTTGGCCCATCTATATGGGGCCAAATTTCAGAAAAAAACTCCTCTTTCAGAATATCCCTTATTCCTCGCACTGAGAGGAATACAGGGATGCCAAAAGAACACGCCCACTTTTTCAGAAACTGTTCCGAAAAAGCAGACATGTTCCTTGAACACGGCAGAGCCTTTCTGGGCCACCCGGTATCCCAGAAAAGCTCTGCAGTCTAGACACAGCCTCAGTTTTCAACAAATCCTAACTTCTGATTTATAATTTTTATTATCAACTTCACCTTTTTTCCATTTTTTAATAAGTACCTTCACTTTCCCTCTAAAACAGGTCGGGTT